TTTTTTTTAAAGAGAACTGAGATGACACCTCTGCACATGCTATGGGAAAGATTGCCGCCTAGGCATGTCTCACATAAAAAAAAAATAAAAAAATTGTATACGCATACAAAGAGTACAACACGAGTACTAAACTCGCGTTGGACTATGAAGTACGTCCCCCGCGAGGGAAATCATAGGGGTTATTAGGGGGTCTGTAGGCCCCCCCCAAAAAAACCAAAAACATGGGGGCATGCCCCAAGATATATAATACAAGGAAAAACTTAAAAATTATATATACATATATACATACTTTTTTTTTCTTTTTTTTTTTTACATTAAAATGACACATTTTTTGTGAACACAAGTGTGTGTGTTACCACCTTCTGCGACCGCGTCGGAGCATGTTGCGTCGAAAAATGTGCTTATAAACAACACCAAGAAAGAGCCGGCAGCTCGGGATGCCCATATAAAAGAATGTTTACAATGCCTAACTTTCAAAAGTCAGGAAACGAAAAAAAAAAAAAAAAAACATAAACCAAACCAGCCAGCAGTAAGACAAGTACAACAAGGCAAACAAAATGGCAAGGCTAAGGTCAAGACGGAATACGGTACTTGAATGACAAGCCACAACAAAGAACAAACGGTGGAGGGCGTGAGGGAGGCGGGCGGGCAGACAAACAACACTAGGCATAAGAAAGAGGCAGCAACAACAAGTCAATAAGTAGCACTACGGCGGTGAAGCAACAACACAGAATATAGGCTGGAGGGCATGGGGGAGGCGGGTGGCCAGACGAATACCACTAAGCAAGAAAAGAACAGACGGGAAGTCGAGAAGCAGCCCGACAAAAGGACAACCAAGCAGACAAAAGAACAAGTGGAACCCTCGACAAAAAAATACACAAGACATAGTCCCAAGTACATCGGAAGACCGAAAAAAATAAACAAAATTGATGATGAAAGATTGTTTCGTCGGAATTGCACTGACTCATCAGGAGGCTGAACCCTCGACAATCTGCGGGAATCTCCGTATTAGATGGTTTGGGTCATGAACCCTTTGACCCTTGTTGAAGTCAGACTGTCCCCAAGTGGAACACAACAGAAACACAGAAGGCACGACGAGCGAGTGGGCAGCAAGGCAGCGGAGCAGCGAAGCGCAAGGCAACGCCGACAACACAGCCACACTACACAGCGAACACAGCAACTTGCAGAGAACAACATGCAAAGCAAGCGGGACAGGCAGCAAGGTGGCGGTGGTGCGCAGACGAGGCAGTCCACACATCCAACAC